TTGTTTCATAGCTTTTTATCGGTTTTATATTAATTTTCCTCACTCGCAGATTGAGTGTTTCATAAGCAATCACCTCTAATACATCTTAGTTGTTCTTGTAACATTATTCGATCTAAAAAACAATATTGATTGGCTCCAAGACTCCTTTTATACTGAGGGAAGAGTTTAGGAATGATATATCCAAAAAAATCGGATGGTTTCAGATTATAACAGCTAATATATGTTATGCAGTTTTAAAGATTGTAACAACTCCCACTGTTGATTAGTTGCGAGTCCAAAGAGCTTAGAGATGGGGTTTTTTAGGAAATTAAGATGGCGAACTTGCCAAACGTAGAAATTTTTTGCTGCTGGCTGATTAGTCAAGGTCGACGTATGGTTTTTCGTGTGAAACTGCGTAATAAATGACGGACGTACTGAATTTCAGCGAAGGGAAGGAATCGCAAAGTTTTTTTTTCCCCCCCACACGAGTGCATCGCGATTATTTCTCAAAAGTGCCAAAGTCAAAAGAAGAAAACGAAGAGTTAATGAGAGCAAAGGAGAGCGGCCAGCGTTTGTTCATCCAAAAATAACGAGCGAGCGAGCGAAGCGAGACGGAGAAATTTATTTTCAGTGAAACTTGGGTATATACTTAGCGGGTGTAGCAGTGGCAGTCCACACTGACGCGGTATGGAAAAAAGAGAAGTTTAATACGTAGCACCGAGGAGCCAGGGATCTTTCTTTCTTTCCGTCTCTCATAAGGAGTTGACGGCGCCAGTGTTTTCTTCGACTGCTCCTTCTTCTCTTTCTCCTTGGCTCGCGCGTAATTATGGCTCGATCTCCCCTCTCTCTCTCTTGCCTTTTGATAAAAAAGATGGATGTCTGCGAGTGAGGGCCAAATGACAGCTGCCTGCTTTTTGTGTAATTTCAGAGGAAAGTTTGAAATATCGTTTTTAAAATCTCTGGCTGCCACTGCTGTGCACACTGCTACTTTTATTTCGCAACTACTTAAATCATACGAAACCAGATCATTTTTAAACTGTTTTCCATACACGCTTCAGCTACTGCCAAAGTGTACAAATTTATTTACTTATTAATTTTTTCAATAAGTCAGGATTGACCAAAAATGGTAATAAAAATAATTGTAGTACGATCAACTTTATGCGACAACGACCCGCGTATAGAGTAAAAAAATTGTCAATGCAAGAAGAAAGCTTACGTGGTAAAACTGCAGAGGTGAGGAAAAAAATGTCGATTGTCAAGTGTGGATTAAAACTTTCGAGCTGTGCTTTTCAACGCGTAACAAGAGAAAAGGGAATATGTAGTTGAAAGTGTCCTCATCTCCCACGTATACCATTAATCAAGGGAACGCCATCAGCCGAGCTATTTCAAATTAACACGAAAGATTGAAGGGATTTTAAGCGACGACAGAATCTCACGCTGTGCGCCCATCCGTCGACATTGGCCCCAGCTCCAGTTCAAATATTGAAACTAAAAAAAAATTAAAAAAAAGAAAAAAAATCATCTTTCTTAATTAATGGACGCGATATCCACGAACAGGAGAGTCACGTTTCAAAATAGCCAACTCTTCCGCAAAAACAACGCGCACGTGGTAGCGTCTGCAAGCATCTGCAAAATTATACAGTCTCGAGTGTACGTGTACCTAATCCAGGCGTTTCAAATACACATCGAGTATACAAAATCTGGCCCACCACTTTATAAACATAAGCAGCCGCGTAGGAGAGAACCCGCCACGTCTATACATACCTATATGTATACATCCAGTGGTGATACAAGCCCGAGGACGCGGACGCGACTCGCATAACAATGCGCCAGCCTACACACAACGCCAACCAAGAGCTACCGTCTATCTTTACGCGTCCCTCGTTTTCGCACGCACTCATACCCACCTACGTGGCTGACTCTCCTTACACTCCCCCCCCCTCTCTCTCTCTCTCTCTCCCCAACAGCACGCGCTCCTGTCAGTCTTCATTCCGCGAATACGCACGTCCGTCGGCGATCCGTCAGCGCCGTTGGGCTTACCACTTGCCCCGCGAGTGTCACTTTCTCGCTCCCGCGACGCGCATCGGTGCACGAATGTGTACTTACACAACGTCATATTTCCGCGCGCAAGCTCGGCCGGGCATTATATATATTTTCGTCCGAGGGCCTAATAAGATGGTTCCAGCGAGCCAAAGCCAGTAGCAGAGGTTTGCGGTTGGCTTCTCGCAGCCTAATTCGAGGGCTTAATTTATGCGCGTCGGTGGGTACTTTACCCCCCCCCCCCCACCCGCCGTGTTATTGTTTCGACGAGGAAGGAGTTCACCCTAAACCGCGGCAGTGAATCCAAAACACTTGCTCCTTACGCCCCAGCCAAGATGAAAATTAATTTTTAATTATCCCGACCCCGAGCGTCGTCTTATTTCGTTTTAATTTGTTTGGTTTGGGTTTGTTTTTGTTTTTTCTCCCGATGTTTCACGATGCGTGTCGCGAAAATTACGTCAATTAGGAGAATCGAGACGCGAGGAGAAGGAAAAAGGGAACAATGCCGAGCTCGCACCGTGTATATACGATGCATAGAGAGAGGAAAACTTCGACTCGAGGGAAAAAAAAAAAAAAAAAAAAAAAAATGAAGGAAAGAAGGTAAGATCCCGAGGCAAGTCGGAAAAAAGTGAGTGACAGGCGAGTCTAGGGGTACAACAGTAGCGTATCCGGCAGCCACCGAGAGGAGACTCGGAAAACGAGAGGAGGCGCTCGTATAGGCCGAGCATTATAGGCACACGAAAACCCAAGTGTATAACGCGACGAGACGGGGCGATAGAGGCGTGGAAGTCCCGGGCTGGTCTGATTGACAGCTCCGAGCGTCCAGCCAATCGCAGGCGGCGAAATGCTGATGAGGTCCGCGTCAATCATGCCTCGTCGGATCCTGCCACCCTCTCCCCTTCGCCCCGATTCGAGAGCCAAAGCGACACATACACACACATATATATATACGTACACGTTTATAAAAACACGCGAGCGTTACTGCGGGGCTCTTTATGTATGAGGAAGGGGGTGGACCAGCCCTTCTGAAAGGGATATCCCCGTTTCCCTGTGGAGCCCGGCCGCCCTTACATCCATATTGCGTATCCGTACGCGTGTATATCGAGAGCTTAAGCCAAGCTGGGCGAGTTGCGGGCAGGAGAGGAAGACGCGCGTCACAGCGAGGCTGCGAAAACTGAATTAAAACCTCGTAAAGCGTCGGAGGCGGGCGAGCGGAGGAGCTTGTCGTCGCTCTTTCTCTCGCTCTCCGCCGAATATATAAGTAATTGATGAATATTTTACCTGGATGTGTGCTAAGCCTTCCGCCTTTCCCCTTTTTTTTCATCCCCGTTTTCAAAATTACAAGGACACGCGCGTAAGCTGACGCTCCCGGCGTTGGTACGGAGACTCATCGACTCGCTCGGAATAACTTGATTGATTTCCATGCTAATGTCACTCACATCGTACTGGACGCTGGATTCGTGGAGATGAAAAAAAGATTTCCCACCTCCTTCGAAGTAATTCGTTTTCATAATAAAATAAGGTTGAATTTGTACTCAAAGAGTATGGAAAGAGTACGTTTTTAAGGGGACGGAAAAACTATTGGTGTTTTTCATCGTTTGGTTCGAAAGAATAGTTTTCGAGAACAATCACATATTTTTGCATGTAACGATTTATCTCTTAATACCGATTCAATATGTCAGCTGCTGCGTAACGATTTTTTAGCCAATTGAAAAACAATTTTTGCCTCCCATAACGTTGGAATGACATGACGCAGAATATTGTAGTCCAAAAAATATTTTGTATATAACACCTACTTTGTGTGATATTCAAAGTGTTTTTACTTTTCAAAAGACACGCACTTGATTTAAATAGCAATTGATAAATTTACAACAAAAAGGGAAATTTTTCTTTAGAGCTTAGTAGTAAAATTAATATTCTAGAATACAGAGACCAAATTATTGATTAACTTCTAGTTTAAACTTTATACCCATACTTGACATTGCATGACCATGTCAAACGTACAGCTGTGACATTGAAAAGGATAGTTGTTTGAAAATTAAGAACATATCAGTAATATTGTGCAATTTGTATCATTATATTCCTAGTTCGGGGTAAATTAATGTCATATGATTTTAATCGCATCTCTGTGGGAGTGGTCAAGAAAAACAGCCTATTTTTTCCAGCTGAAGCGTAATTTTGTCATCATCTGAAATTAACGTAGTAAAACCCAGGCATTTTCCAATTATCGAGAGTTCAGAGTGCACTGTTGATTGAGAGACCATCACCTTGGGCCCTCGCAACTCCAAACTACCGGCAAGGAAGTGGAGGGAGTCAGTATACGCCCGTGGGGAAAATACACTGAGCGATGTACACGCTAGGCTGCTACAAACTTGGCTGCTGTTCTCTCGAGCTCCTCTTGTTATCGTGTCGTCGAGTTTCTTACTGATAACAATTAGGCGACGCGGCCTCTCATCGGCAACGCCCGCGCCTACCCCGTCCGCCTGTTCACCGCGGAACTTGCCGCTAAACTTTCCACCAAGGAGTCGAGTATCCGCAGAATGTGCTCCCTCCCCAGCCCCCTCGTCCATCTGACACGAGATTTAATGCTTGGCTTACAAAATATACAGAATACGGAGGATGACACGACAAAAGTGTCATAAAAAAAAAACCAACTACGATGACGACGATGAGAAGGAGGAGGTAGTGTGGTTTGTTAAAATTACCTTTATCAATACCGAAATGGAAGCTGTTGATCATTGCGCGATACTCCTCGAAAAATGAAAGATGACCCGTGCACGGCTTCATTGTACACACTCATTATGCCAAAGTCGCAGACACATGGGAAAGTCTCGTTAATCATAGTCGGCCAAACAATGTCAAACGAACGGGGGGAGGTGGGACCAAAAGTATAAAAATAGAATAAAACGAGTCAAGAGAAAGAGAGAGAGAGAGGCAAGCGCTAGACATTCACTGTAATCTTGAAATTGTGCTCTTTGCAGAGAACGGCCTGCCGAGGAGGTTGAGAACGGCCTACACCAACACCCAGCTTCTCGAGCTCGAGAAGGAGTTTCATTTCAACAAGTATCTGTGCCGGCCCAGAAGAATAGAGATAGCGGCTTCGCTCGATCTCACCGAGAGGCAGGTGAGCAAGAATAAAAATAGATGTTTCCCTACACTCCCACATTTGCATACAAATAGCTCCATTACAATACTGTATGGAGGAACAATTGAGATTTTATCGTAAATAATTTTATTTTTTTTTCTTTATACAAAGTGTCTCTATATGGTATACAAGGTGGATGTCGTGATTTCAGGTGAAGGTATGGTTTCAAAACAGGCGTATGAAGCACAAGCGCCAGACGCTGACCAAAGAAGACGGGGACGACAAAGACGGTGGGTCCGACGGACTCGAAAAGAAGGGCAAGCACCTGGTGGACGAGGACGAGAAGAAGAGCTGCCACAACTGTGATATTTCGGGGGTGGGCGACGTTGGTAGCACATTGTCCGGTGACGTGACCGAACTCGGTTCCGTGCAAGATCCCAGTAACAGCAACAACAACACACCCAGCGCAACGAACAACAACAACAATAGTTCCGGCTTCAATGCCAACAGCAACGGGGCAAGCAGCGTGGGGAGCACCAACAGCGTCTCGAGCACCTTCGACAAGATGATGGTGGACGGGGAGGACTCGCGCTCGAACGAAGGCAGCGACGTGGCCTCGCCCGGCTTGTCCAGCTCGAAAAAGTCGGACGTTAGGATAAAGCTCGAAAACGAGCTGCGCAAGAGCCCGAACCGCCCCAAGCAAACGAGCATGAGCAAAAAGTCACCCTCGGCCAACTCGGCCAAGGACAACATGTGCTCGGTGAGCAGCAACGGGGTACTGCTGGCTCTACCGGACTCAACGGTTGCGACGCCAACCCTGCCCAACCAGCCGGGCTCGTCTACCCGTAGTCTGACGCCATCCTCTACCCCGAGCACCCCCGTCTCGGTGCAACTCCAAGGAAGCCCACTGAGCAGCGTCCAGCAACAACAGTCGGTCTACGTCATGCAGCGACCTCGCAGTTCGCCCTCCTCCAGTACGAGTGGTGCTGTCCAACCGGGTCTCTTGCACGCGGTTAACAGCCAAGGGGGCTCGGTCTCGCCTCACAATTCGCGCACCAGCCTGGGCAACCCGCAGCAGAGCCACTTCCAACAGGCGGTGTACCATCAGACCACCACAGGTTGCGACTATCGGAACAGCGTTGCCAACCGGACCGCCGTTGGTGCCAACAACCAGCAGAGCGTCGCCTACTGCGGATCGAGGGACGCTGCGATCGCAGCAGCGTATCACCATCACAATCAGCAGCCACAGCAGCAGCAGCAGCACAGAGTCATGTATACCAGCGAGTTGCACGCGCAGTACGCACGCCAGGGGCATCAGTCGGCAGTGTCCACTACGCGCGTCAATCACCACGGCACGAGAGCCAATGCCAGATCCATGTACAATCACCACTTGATTCAACAGCAGCAGCAGCAACAACAACAACAACAGCAACAACAACAGCAACAGCAACAGCAGTTGTATCAGTCACAGCACAATCAGCAGTACGCCAATACTGCCGATTACAATGGTTACGCGCAGACGGGCTCCAGCTATCACGCGTCCTACCACGCGAGGTGAGCTATGACGGTTTATAATATTTCTAATGCATGAAAAATAGAAATTTAATCAGTCCATGTGTCGACGAAGACGTCAATTCGACTCTTATAAGGGGAAAAATTTATAGATTAGACTTTCATATCATTGAAATGTATGATCGAGTTGGCTCCCTGGTTATTAATACGTCGGGTAAAGTTGGCTTCCAAGTTATTGAGGTACAGATATGTCAATTTGACTTCTGGCTCATTAAAAAGCTGTCCATTGTAGTCGGCTCTCAATATAGACATACCCATACGCGATACAAATTTATTTTATTTTTTTTGTTTCCGACGTTTTTTTTCAACATTTTGAAGTTAGCTGCGCTCTTGGTAGGAACAATACCAACATCTACTGTCTCAGTTCATTGCTCAGTTGTTTTGCCAGACGAGTTGAGAGGTCAACATCAATCACCTTGCGTTTTAACTTGCTTATTTTTCTCTGATGCAAAACAGCTGGTAGATTCAGACGCCCAGGATTCAGTTCGACACCTGCCTCAAATTAGACCGTATACAGCAAGTATACTTTCTTAGAAATCAACACTTTGCATCATAAAGTGTGTGCGTACGTTTGAGCGTTTGTTAAAATAGGCCATTTCATACATTATGTACCAACTGGAATAATTTTTGATGAATTGTGATGTTTACGTTACTTTCGGAGGCCACCTCAAATTTACACTCTTTTATATCCAGGAGCTCATTCAAAAGTTAACATCAGCCTTTGTCGAGGGTCCTTATGATGATAGGGTAATTTACACATTTGTGAAATCGAGTGATATTTTTTACTCGTATGTAAAAATAAAATTTCTGCGCTTGTTGTTGTACAACATTTATAATTATTATTATTTGCAAATTAGGCTAAAAGGAAGCAAAAGAACCATCGAAATAAACCATTATTTTTTTTTCTTTTGACAATTGTATTGCAGAAGCATGCCGAGAACAGGGAGCGCAGCTTACAGTACAGGTACAGGTGGTCAAGCGTATACCGAGCACAGCGACGCGGACGTATACATGTCGAGCAACAGCTACGGTTACCCGACGGCCAATTCCACCTACCACCACACGTCGTCTCCAAGCGCCAGCGAGACGACTGCCATGTCAGGCCATCACGCGAGCATCCCCCTCAACCAACAGCAGCACTACTACGACGTGCACCAGCAGCAGCAGCCGCAGCATCATCAACAACAACACGTGCAGACAGATGGCTACACGGGCCATCAGGGCGCGTCGATGCACTCTGCCGCGATGCTGGACTACCATCACCACTCGCACAGGACAACCGCCAACAAGTGCCATCCGAGCCCGTACTACGACCAACAGCAGCAGCAGCAGCAACAGACAGGGGCTCAGCTGCACGTGCACCAGGGCGGCGAGGCCTCGAGCATGCCGGCGAGCTACGTCTCCTCGCCCGACCCATTCCCCAGCCCGGGCATCGCTACGACGGCCACCGCCACCACGGCCCACGCCACAGCCCAAAACTGCGAGCCCCCCAACCAACACGACCCCACGTCCTACGCCAGCTTTGCCGGCTACTACGGCCCGGACCCCGCCACCGGACTCCAAGCGAGCCAGGCCAATCCGGCCGCCCAGTCGCAGCCCGTGCAAGCCACCGACAACAGCAACAGCTCCTCGGACTTTAACTTCCTGAGCAACCTGGCGAACGACTTTGCCCCCGAGTACTACCAGCTCAGTTGAGTCCAGGAGCACGACGCCGTGCCCACAGCGTCGGCCAACACCAACTGCCAGCAGATCGACTGGAACGACGAACAGTACCTGCTCAACGAACTCTACTAGTGTTTGCGTTTGTGAATCCACGGGGGGGTTTTGGCTTATTTTGGTGCTATACAGTGTGCTTGGTGACTATGTTGAAAAAGTGAAACGGTGCAAAATAGAGCACGAAAATTGCTACCTGGGGTATTTTACAGTGCGGGTGGGGGTGGGACGACCGGATGGGTCGCCGAATTCTGGCCTGTGGCCAAGGACAGCAGAGGACACTCGACGACAGAGAAGAGAGTGGCAGTGGTTTATTTGTTCTTGGTATTTCGTCGCTCGATGAGCGATAGGTGTGCCGAGTTTTTCCACTTTGGTGTTTGCGCGAGTGCACCCCATAGCGACGGGCCGTACGATTATACTTGCTTTAATGGAAAAGGAAAAAAAAAGGAGGGCGCGTGTGCGGGAAAAACAAAGTGCATCCACGCCACGAGCATTTTAATACGCAGTGCTTGCATTAGGATTCACGAGGCGTACGAGTTGCGGCGAATTTGTGCGTCGAGTCGAAGAGTGCACGGAATCAAAAGTTATTGCAAACGTCCAGAATGAGTGTAGGGTATATAGCCACGTGGGGACGATGTGAAGGGTGCGAAGCGAATTGGTGCGCGTTTTATTTTCTTCATAGTGGCTTGGAGAAACAACCAAAACAAGTTTATAAATAAATGTGTGGAGCGAGGGATGGCGAAAAAGTGAGACGATCGTACGAGTGGGGAGATTTTTAAGCTGGACTGCAGTTTCGTTAGTGAAATCGTTCAGTTGTGGTATTGTTGTAATTTCTAGTGCCTGTTTTGTATAAAATAAAAACGTATGATTGTCGCAGCACAATACTTACGGATTAAACATGATTTGTGTTCTAGTTACGTGCCGACGGAATTTAATTTTAGTACGCAGACGTCCCGTCTTATGTTCTTTTGGTGTATACGTATTTACACATCGCGTATTGCGTAAAATTTTATCGGAACAGAATGGAAAAGCTATTATATTTTACAACGAGACGAATGAGTAAACGAGATTTAGAAATTAATCCAAGTAATTGATGATACGTGAAAATACGACCGTCGAAACTGTGTGTGTTTGTTGTGGGTCTAGTATCGAGAATGAAAAGCGTATGTATACATATTAGTAGTAAATGCCCGTTTCAAACCGTCTCTTTTGTATATTATCTATACGTTCGCATGTAGCTGTTGTTGTTGTTGTTTACACACATACGTACATAAGTATAAATATATTTAAAAAAAAGAAAATTAATTGCTTTTCGATAGCAAAAGCGCTAGGATAAAAGAGAAGAGAAAATTCCTGTAAATATTTGCAAAATACGGCGTACGAGTATACAAATAAAATATATCGAGCGATAAAAGGAAAAAATATTGTTTATCATGGATAATAATATTAATAGTGTAACAATAAGAAAATAAAATACGTAATCGTTGCGGACGAATTCTGCAACAAATTGTGGATAAGAAAATTACACTGCACAGGCGTATACGTTTAAAAATCACAGGCAAACACATTCACGTAAACACTTTGTCAAATATAACACGGACACACGTATACACACACGCATTCTCATAGCGAAAACATGTGTAAAAGAAAGTTTGAGATCGAAAAAAAAAAAAAAAAATATATCGTAAGTCACTTTCGCACTGTGTCTCTATGCTGAAAATAGAAATCTAATAATCGGGCGATTAAATTTTTTGCACATTAGTTCGAGGAACTTTGGGCGCAGCTACGAACTAGAAATTAGATAGTCTCCAAAAATATGTTGTACTGAATTTCGAACTACCTTTATGAAGGTAATAAGAAAAAAAAAAAAAAAAAAGAATTAATTAAACGCAATCAAAATAACAAAACATCGTTCTTATCATTGTCATCGTTATTACAGTTATTTTTTTACGTTTAGTTATTAACTTTTCGTTAATTTTATACGTTTTATATAACTGAATAAGTATTTTATTTCTATCCAACGTACCTCTATACTGTATCACGTTAGCCAGTTCTTATAACAACTCTCATCGACATGTTTGAAAACAAATTTTTTATTTATTTGTAAAAAAAAAAAAGAAAAAAAAAACAACTATTTTCAACAAGACAAAAAACTTGTCGTACGAAGACTCAATGCTGCAATAAACTTTTATCTGATTAATCTTGAAAAAAGAAAACGAAAAAGCTAAATATATTCAACAATGTCTCCCTCCCCATCTGTACTTTAATCATCGAAACCAATCGTCCGTAGACTGATATCTTTGGAGTAACAAAAAAAAAAGGAAGGTAACTCCCTAGGGTTTGAAGCAGCATCAGCTCCAGGGAAAAAGAGAGTCTGCGCGGACGAAAAATTCAAAGAAGAATTACCAAGCGTGGGCAATATCGCAATTAAGGCACGTGAAGCACCACTACCCCCCGGCAAACTTCTTCTCGGCGCCTACACGCACACACGTGGGGGCCTGTACCATCCCGTAGTTAATGTATATGTACACACGTGTGGGTAAATTCGCAAAGCTCGAAACTTTGAGAGACGCGTCGTGACGGAGAAAGGCATCGGTTCACGGAGAGATGCAGAAGGGATACCGAGAGAACGAGGGCGTAAAATGGGCCCAAAGAGCATAAGTATACACGTGCACATATATACCTGCAGAGCCCAGGCGTTCGTCCGTCGAGCTGTTCTCTCCCTCTGTCTGACTGCGCTGAAGAGTTCGGTGACAATGATGGATGAGAGTGCGTGGCCACGTGTGTATGTATATGTATACATAAATACACGTGCGTGAGTTCTCGCATACATGCATAATATACTTATTATATAGGTGTGCCCTCGACAGCGGCAGATACAGGCCTACACATACACCGTATACAACGCGTTCTCGCATCGCGGCGTTTCTCTCTCCCTCCCTGCGCATCTGTGCGCCCGCGTTCTCCTACCCTCGTAACGCGATATCCCCGATTACACGAGCGTCTCTCTCTCTCTCTCTCTCTTTCTTCTGTTCGGTCTCTCGCCCTTATATACGCCCTATGCTCACGAACGGGCCTACCTCTTATTTCCTTCCCCTCCGCCTCGAGTCCCCCCATTTTCATTTTTTTTTTTTTTTTTTGTTCATCCTCTTCCGAAACCGGCTAATTTCGACGCTATTAACTTTTTTCTTTTTCTTCCTCCTTTTGCTCCCTCGAGCTGCGCAGACCCGCGAGCTAATAACGAACCCCGGCTCTCTCTCCCTTTTTCTCCTCGTGATCCTCGAATTTTCCATCGATTAGCCGCCCGTACGCGGTCCAAAAGGAGCGGGACTCCCATTGTCTTGGGGGAATCGTTTTCTTCGGTTCGCGATAATAGAGGGAGGGAAGGCACTCCTTTTGGAGGACTGTGGATACATACATACACCCACGTGGGCTTGAGACAGAGGGAGGATCGTGAGTAAGGGTTGCACTTGTACAGAGTGAGAGGGAGAGCTCTCTCCCCTTGCGGGTCCGGCGAAAAGTGAGAGCGATAGAGAGAGAGTCAAGGGTTAGGAGGCCGAGCGGACGCAAAAGCCGAGGGGCCATAAATCTTGCCATCGTCGGGGGACGACTCATTCACGCCACTTCACTTTCCGCCCGATATTCAGTGAAAGAGATCCAACAGCACGCGCTTCGCTTCGGTCGGACCGAGAAAAGGAGAGAGAGGGGATTCGTGATGGGGGTTGGCTTGGGAATATGCCACTGGACCGCTTACTTTCGCACAATGATAACGCGCCCGATGTCCCTCTGTATGATACACTTGGTTGCCGCACTGGGGCCGATATAATGCGTTTAAAAAGTAGTCCCTCCTATACCTATACGCATCCACTTTTCCTTCCCTTTCTTCTTCGGGCCTCCTCCTTTCATCCCTTCTGTGTGTACACTCGGAGGACTCCCCATTGTCCGGAAAAGACTTCATAAAAGCTACTGAATTACCTGTACATCCCTACAGCGGTGTTTCAACGCCTCGTTCGATCCCATCCAGCTCATTTTTCTATTGTTTTTTTCGACCATTCGACAATTCAATCGATCAATCATCCACAAAGTTGTACATTCAGGTGCATTGTATTTCGTAATCGTTGCACTCAGGCATTCACTCTCAACAAAAAAAATATATAAATATACGAATACATATGATCAAAAGTCGAATGTATGATTTCATCCGCATACCTGGAATAGAAAATCAAACGCACACACACTTTTTCTTGACAGATGTACCTCAGGGCCGGGACGTACGAGGCTCCTAATTAAAGAGAGCTAGAAAATAATTTGACTTCCTCGGAGATGGAGGCCGTGCCGCGCGTACAACATTTATAAGCCCGAGAAAAAGAGTGCACCACAGCGTCCAGGGGCAGGATCGGAGCATCATCAGTCGCTGGCTGCCGGATGAAAGGGATGGGCGAGAAATGTTGTTAACGCTTAAACGTTAACAAATGTAGACGGCCGAGCAGAGCCAAACGTGTACACGGTGGATCGAGAACAGCATCAGCAAAGGTATATATATGGAGAGAAAATCTCGGCACGAGTGTGACTGAACGAACCGTACATATGTATGTATATAAAGTCGCAGTCGTCAGTCAGCCGGTCTACTCTCAGCACCGATGAGCCGGCTATATGCAGTGGCGGCTGCCTTTTGAGCTCTCGCTCTCTCGGTTTGTCATGGTCCGCATGATAGATGGGAGGAAGCGAGCGGCCAGCAGCTATCTCTCGCTCGCCGCGCTCTTTTGCGCTCCGTATAATATGTACCTCGTGTATACCTTGCTTACCCATATATATATATATACACTCACTCCGCGTATAATATACAGACTCCTTGATGGACTATGAGAACTGTATATGTATAAGTACTCTTGGCCGCAAATAGAATTTATATAAATATATTTACACGCGCGCTTATACGATTCGGGTTACGAGCAAAGCCAACCCTTGCACGGAGGGAGAAAAAGAGCAGAGTGTCGTGTATATATACATGTATATATCTCCGCAATAGTCGTCGAGGGGTCAAAAAGGGGCTG